CAGGACAAGGGGGAATGGCTTTAAACTAGAAGAGGGTAGATTTAGATTAGATATTAGAAATAAACTCTTCACTGTGAGGGTGGTGGAACAGATTGTCCAGAGCAGTCATGGATGCTCCATCCCTGGCAGTGGTTAAGGCCAGACTGGAAACAGCTTTGAGCAACTTCCAATAGTGGGAAGTGTCCCTGCCCATGGCAGGGGTTTGAAACTAGATGATGTTTAAGGTCCCTTCCAACCCAAACCATTCTGATTCTATTAAATGCTCGTGTAGAGGATGGGTAAGATCATAAAGTGTGAGGACCAGAAAGGCTGATATCCTGGCTGATGATTGGAAAAACACGAGCCAAACTTTGGTGGTGGCCTTTGTCTTTCACAGGGCTTTGTTTTGGTTATGAGGAGTAAGACATTGCTACACAGGTTGCAGAAGATAGGACACTATATTGCTCTAAACATGGTAATATATAATAGGCATGCACTCCAGGAGAAGGAGACTGTGTACTGACAGTTTGGGTTCAGAGTTAATTTTTTTCTGGGTGTCATGGTTTAAGCCCAGCCGGCAACTTGGACCCCCGCAGCCGCTCAGTCCCTCCCCCCCGCCTTTTCCTTCCTCCCCCCGCTCCCGGAGGGATGGGGAGGAGAATCGAAGGAATGTAACTCCCACGGGTTGAGATAACAGCACTCCAGTAACTAAGGTATAATACAAACCACTACTGCTACCAATAATAATGATAAGAGGAATAACAAGGGAAAAGGACACAACCGCTCACCACCCGCCAACCGATACCCAGCCCGACCCGAGCAGCGATCTGGGCCTTCCGGGTAACTCCCCCCAGTTTCTATCCTGGGCATGACGTGCTGTGGTATGGAATAGCCCTTTGGCCAGTTTGGGTCAGGTGTCCTGCCTCTGCTTCCTCCTGGCTTCCCCTCCTCTCTGGCAAAGCATGAGACTGAGAAAGTCCTTGGTCAGAGTAAACATTACTGAGCAACAACTAAAAACATCGGTGTTATCAGCGTTGTTCCCAGACTGAAAGTCAGAAACACAGCACTGCACCAGCTACTAAGAAGGAGAAAAAATGACTGCTGTAGCTGAACCCAGGACACTAGGAAAAAAAATAGGAACTAGAAAAGTTACACGCAGGGTTTAGGACTAAATACACTTCATCCTTCCTTTGCTCTCCCTTTGTTTTAGGAAGAACAGATCAGAAGGAAAAAGCGAGAAGATCGTCTTGAGAAAATTCGCCGTAATGTGCAGTTAAAATATGCAGCAAAGAGGAAGGTGAGTTATCCTGCGGTGATCAGAATTTTCTGTTTTCATTACCTCAAGCATAGTTCATACTTGCTTATATCTGCAGCTTCACATGGGATTTTCCAACCCTGTTTATCTGTTAGGAGTTCAGGGAGCTCTTTGCGTTAGTCCAGAAATGGGCCATCCAAAAGTTTTGGTTAGATTTTCTGTTTAAAGTACAGATGTGAAAACCAGGTTTTGCATAGAGAATTCCCTGTGCGATGTTTGTGTGTGGGTAGGAAGGGTGTGTGTTCTGATGGCCTTCTGGCCCTCTGCTTTTGTTTTAAAAGCTTTAATACTTTCATTTTTCATTATTTTGGGAGCTCTTTATGAGCATGTGTGAACACTCTGTGCTTCTGGAATAAAACCTGTAGAACGAACTGTGATTAAATTTAAGATCATGGGAACAGAACACACCCACCCCACAAAAGAAAAAGCCAGGTCAGACTTTGGTTGTACTTTGCTCACCACTAAAGAACAATTATATCTGCTTACTTTCATAGCAAATGTGATTGTACTTTTCAGATATGTCTCTTTTCTACATATAAAAGGTTCACAGATACATTTTCCTGCTATTTAGATGGGTGGACTGGCCTCAGCACTCTTGACTCTCAAGAGCTTTTTGATGGTATGAGTCAAACTTCCCAGAAATACCCACATCAGGCCCCTAAACAGGCAGATTTATTAAGCTTTCAGGTTATTAGTTTCTAGTGTGCTCCATCTCAGGTGCTCTGTTATGTTTTGGTCAACTCCTGTCAAAAGCATGTGGCAGGAATAGCAGAGGTTCAGAGGTGAACAGCAAATAAAAAACAAGTGGAACAAAGAACTTTCATCTCATGAAAGAGGATGAAAAGCATATGAAATGAGAAGCATGATAAAAAACAAGAAAGCAAATGAGAGAATATTATAGAGATTAGGAAAAGCAACTGATTCATCTCCTCTGTAGTGCTCAGTAACAGCATTTCTTCATAATGCCATGGTAAAAACCACTTACTGACATTGGAAGGTACTGTTTTCAGATTGAAAAACTGAACTTTTTGTTATCAGGACACAAAGTTGATCAGAAAACTGTTCTTCAGCAGTGTACTGGAATTTTTGTAGAGAGTTATACCTGTATTAGAATAAGAACCACATAACTGGAGAAAAACGGCAAGAGAAGCCTTTTGCTCTGTGTTCTAAAGTGCTGAGTTTATCCTCACTTTAAGTGGGGACAGAGTGTTGATTATGTCCTTATATGTTTGGTTGGGTTTATTTACACACTGTTTTTTTCTCAGGCAGGCATCTCTTATGGGCCACTTTCAGTGACTAAAACTGGATTACATGGAATTGTCATTTCAGGAGCTGTTAGTTCAGTGGGCCTTTTGCATAGAGGGTTCTTTATGTTTCCCCTTCATATATGTCTGTGTGGCCAAGTCTGTGGTTGTTGGTGACAGCTGCATTCTGTGGGGCTGAACAGCTTCAGACACCCTTGGTGTGTTTGCTTGTCCTGCTGTGGGTTTCCCCAGCAACCCATTCCCTCTGTTATTTGCAAGGGACTGTGCTGTCTTCTGACCTGTCCACAGCATAAAATGAAGAGATTGCTACCTCTCTTTCTGCATGAGCAATAATGTGATCATGTGTTCCTTTCAGAGATCTGAGGAGGATGAGACAAAGCACCTTCTTCAGCTCAGCAAGGAGGTTCTTTCAGAGGGAGCTGGAGATGCTCTAGAGCAGCTGGATCACAATGAGGAGGAGCTGATTCTTGCTGAGTATGAGAGTGATGAAGAAAAGAAAGTGGTATCTGGGTAAGAACAGGGAGTAAATGGGTTCCTCTGTGTGTCCTGGCCAAGGAAATATTTTCTGTACCTTTTTTGGCTTGCCTTGATTTAAGAGATCTCACCTGTGATTGTGCACATCTGGAGTTTATCCCCCATTCAAGCAGTGGTTGTTCTGGTTGGTTCTTTGTTTAATTGGTTGGTTCGGTATTTTGGGGGGAATTTTGTTTTGGGTTTGTTTGTTTGTGGGGTTTTTTTAAAGCTTTTGTTAGACTGATCAGAGTGACCTGAAGTGATTCCTGAGAAAGTGCACCTTTGTTAAAATGTGTGGCAATGTCCTGCTTTTAACCCTGCCCAGTTTCCCAAAGAATGCCCCTGGATGTGGAGTGAATGGCTTGAGATCAGGTTCCTTGCACTGGAAAAGCAGAATAGAGCTCTGGGGCACCAGGAAACTGTCAGTCCTGCAGATTAGTGTTGGCATCTTTTGGTACTCTAAAGGGAGAGATGTTCACATTTCTAAAGACTGAGCTTCAGTGTGAAAATGCCATGCACCCTTCTCTCTCTTACATTAGCTTTATGCAGAAAGCCAGAAGCTGTGCTTCAGCATGGAAAGTCAAATACATTTAACATAGAAATTTACTAATTAGTATCTAGGCAGATCCTCCTGCCTTGAAAGTTCCAAACCACTACTTCATTTATATGTAGTTTATCAAACATTAAACTGCTGTTGCCTTGGAGGAACTCTATGGCAGCTAAGTATCTTCCTGAAGCTTTTCTTTATGCAATAGCTTGAGGGTGGTAAATTGTCTCTAAAGGGAAAGTTTTACAAGAATAAATAAAGAAGCTCACCAAAGAATAGTACAGCACTGATTAGCTTATGCCTGGGGCTTAGAAGTCTTAGATTTAAAAGAAGAAAAAATAAATCTTGAAGTTGCTAAAGACACAGCCGTACAGATGTGTTTTTAAGAGCAAGGCTTGACTTAATTGTGCATGCTTACACTGTTCTTAAAAAGTCAATTTTTCTTTTACCTCCTGAGTTAAGATCTGAGGCTTTTCTGGAGATGATATAACCATTTCTCCTGAGACCTCTCTCTTGAAGTTGAGCATCATTTGATTCTAAGTGCCAGTGATCTGCTGAAGGGAAACTGTTTGAGCTTTCTCTTTTCTTAGGCTGGAAGAAGATGATAATGATTTGGAAGAGGAGCATGTGACTAAGGTGAGATGAGGAAAGGAAATAGTGCTGCCTCGTAGAACAGTGTAGGAGTGAGCAGAGTGATGGCTTCCTTGCACCCTTCCCAGAGTCATGCAATACAGAAGGATTGAGGAACTAGCATCCAAGAACTGCCAAGTTTGTTGATAGTAGCAACCAGTTCTGCTATGCTCATCTCCTTCTGGGTGACACTGGCTGTCTGAGCAGCTTGCCCTGCTAGCACTGCTGAATTTTTGCTGTGGCTTGCTGTAAAAGCACACTGGAAGAAACAGGTTTTTATTACTCTCCAACAGCAAGTCCCTGGTTTTATAGGGGCCTTGGAAAATCAAATGGAAACAAAGGCAAATGCATAGGAGAAAAGAGAGATAAGGCTGTTGGCCTTAACAGTTGTCAGGTGACACTCAAACATGTGCCTTCCCTTGAAGGCTTGAGCAGGATTAACCTTGTTGAAGTGCTTGGCTGCTTCCTTGCAGGATTGGTTGTGGGTAAGAGGTTGGCTTCCATGTTCTTCTTGTCTTCCCTTTGTTTCTTCCTCATTGTAGATCTACTACTGCAGCCGCACTCACTCCCAGCTGTCTCAGTTTGTGCGTGAGGTGCAGAAAAGTCCTTTTGGCAAAGACACACGTCTGGTCTCCTTGGGATCCAGGCAGGTATGTGCTGTTGTTCACAAGGGACCCTGAGTGTGCGTTAACTTAATGTGAGAGCCCTTGTGAGGGGGTATGTGGATGTGATGCCACAGAAGGCACCTCGGAGGTTGACTGAATCTCCTGTTGAAACACTAAAGCAGCTGTGGGTCATGACACAGATGTGAGTGATGTGCATTTTTGATTGAACCGTGTTTTGGCCATTTACCCTTTGATGTAAATGCAAAAATCTGTTTTACCTTTTCAGATGTGCAACATTACAGATGTCTGAGTCCCTGGGAAGGTGCTCCTCTTAGTCCTGGCAGCATTGTTTAGATGCTGTCGTGTAGCAGTGAGCCATCTCAGTGCATCTTTTCACATTTTTTTTCCTCCTCCTTGCTAAGTTTTTCTGGGTTTCAAGCATATTTGTAGCAGTTTGTGTGCACAATGTCGGACCAATAGACTTACCAGTTTTTGATACTGGGCTGAGATTGCTTTAAAGAAATCTTCTGTTTTACAGCAAAGGGTACAAACGGGGCACTTGGTTCTTAACTGACCCCCTACCCCTTCCTCTCTTTGCATGTCCCAGAACCTATGTGTGAATGAGGAGGTGCGACGCCTTGGGGCTCTCCAGCTCATCAATGACCGCTGCATGGAGATGCAGAAGAACAAACATGGTAGGAACACATTCCCATTGCTAGGAAAGCAATTACTGATAAAGCTGGTGTGAGAGGCTGGAGACAGTGTGCACTGCCATTCAGCTCTAGCAAGAGGGTGGTAGGAGCTTAGAAATGGCAGGTTGGAGGAGCAGAGCTAGAGATCCTCAGCACTTTTACTTTTCTTGACTTCCAGGCTCTGTGGATTTTCTGCATGTCTTAAGTTGGTCAGGGCTTATGCAATGGGAGGATAGTTGTCTTTGTAACTAAGCACTAGAAATATGGGAAAGCATCACATGGCTAAATCAGACTGGCAAGAGAAGTGTCCTCTGTGGAGATGCTGAATAACTTTTGAATAGACGATAAGTCAGAAGTACACATGACAAAGCCTGCTTTGAAATGCAGGAGGTTCTGCAAAGTGGTTATTTCCATTTACTGTGTGTGTTGCTCATAGCTTTCTTTTGATTTCTGCTGTTAGAAAAAAAGAGTGATGAAGAGAATGAAGGGAAGAAGAGACGCGTGAGCCGCACCATATGCCCATTTTATTCCTATGAGCAAATGCAGTTTCTCCGTGATGAAGTTCTAGTGGAAGTGAAGGATATTGAGCAGTTGGTGGCTTTGGGAAGGGAGACCAAAGCTTGCCCGTATTATGGGAGTCGATATGCCATTTCTGCTGCACAGGTAAGTTGTATATGGTGTTAGCAGAATTAATACTAGGGGATCTAAGAATAAGCTAATTGCCTGCTGCCTCCAGTACTGTAAATATTGTGGGAGTTTGTAAACAGGCTGTGTTTCTGTCAGCTGTAGTTATGCTGAGAAAGCAAATTAAAATGAGAAGATCCATTTGAAATGAATAGGCTGTGAGTATGTCTCAGCATTCTGAAAAATTTGAAAGGCTCAATAACTCTTGAGGCAATACTGACACATGGGTGTAATCTTAGCTCTTGCCACCACTCTTCTTCCTTGCTTGATTCTCTATCAGAAGACATGCTTTCAGTGCTTCAGGAGAGATTCAGAATGTAACCTGAGCTAATAGGCAATTGTAGCATAATCATTTCTCTTCAGCTTACATCCCAGTGCCCCTCTTAAGCATGTGTTCCTGTCTCTCCTCGTGCCTTTCCCATAATAAGAGTGAGGCTATCTAATATAGGCCTTAAGTGAGTGGCTGGGGAGTGCCCTCAGCTTGTAAGGGTGAGGGCCAGAATCAGGGCAGTGTGTGCTTCTCCCGTAGCTGGTGGTGCTGCCCTATCAGATGCTCTTGCATGAGCCTACCAGGAATGCTGCTGGGATCAAGCTGAAGGACCAGGTCGTAATCATTGACGAGGCCCACAACCTCATAGACACCATCACCTGTATCTATAGTGCGGAGGTCAGTGGCTCTCAGGTGAGTTACAGCCTGACCTGGCTAATGTGAGCTCCAGCAGAGTGCCCTTTCTTGGTTCCTTAGTAACAGTTCCTTTTTGTGTTCATGTAGCTGTGCTGTGCCCACTCCCAGCTGCTGCAGTACATGGAACGATACAGGTAAGGATCTTGTAGGAAAGTAGCACACCAGCAGCAGGCAGCGTGGATGCTGTGGCTTCTCTCATGTTTACAAGGTGTTTCTTGCTTTTCCCTGGTGGAAAGTAATTTGCATTAATACTTTTGCAGATGAAAAGCTGCTTGCTTTATTATCTTCGTCTAGAATCCACCTAAGTGTGACTCCTGGGGCTGGTACTAAGCAGTGAGAAGGGGGATACTGTGAGGATTCTGCTTTTCCCTTATGCTCTCAGTTCCTTTCCCAATCTCTCTCTAATCGTTCCTGCTTTATGATTCAGAGTTTCAAAAGATTCAGTCTTTTCATGTCTGTCCTGGACCTTATTCTTTCATGTGCTGACTGGCATTACGACAGAGGCAGTAAGCTCTGAGAAGGAGGAGGAGCAGGAAGCTATATGTGGTGTTTGGCTTTGCACCTCATCATCCCTCCAGTGGTTGATCATTGTGCTCAATGCTAATAACCTGAAATTTATGCAACAGGGCCTTGAGGCATCACTGCCATTGTAATAAATAAACTATGATTAATCTGTGAGGAGAAGGGCAATGGTAGGAACAGTGTGGGGTGCATGAGTGAGTGCTCTGGGCTGACCTCAGGCAGGATATCCAGAGGTCTGTGCCCTGTCACAAACAGGGAGAGTGAGCCTAGGAGAAATCATTCTTGGTTCCTGTCTCCTCAAAATGAAGGGGAGTTCAGGTGCTTGTTTCTGCAGCTCAGCTGCTTAAGTTAGTCCCTGAAGATGTTTTGGGGCCTTATATCTGTTTCATTTTTCATAGGAAATGTTTGAAGGCGAAGAATTTGATGTACATTAAACAGATCCTGTATTTGCTAGAGCGGTTTGTGGCCATGCTGGGAGGTAAGCAAGCCTGTTCTGTCTCCAGGGATGCTGACAGGCTCTGAGCTAGTTGGTGCTTCCTCAGGGCATTATCGCCCTTGTCCCTTTGCAGAGACTGTGGGGAAGTGATGCTCTCATGTATAGGTTTGGATGTCAGTAAGTGTATTTCTCAGGCTGTTTTGTAACATGGTGATGCTTGTTGCTTGATTAGCTGGGGAGCAGCAGATGCCATCGTAAGTTGGTAGAGGCAGTTTCCTTCTCTTTCTGTGTGGTTTTCAGGTCTGATTTGGGTGGTGATGAGGTAGGTAACTAAATGAGGAATACAGCAGATGTGTGACAGTGATCAGGACAGTGCAAGACCCGAACAGAATTAATCTGGCTCATCTGGTAGCAAGGCCTCTACCTGTGTCAGGTGCACCTCTGCAGAATGAATCTTTCCTGAGTGGTGTCTTTCCTTTGAGAGGAAATACTTTGCTGTGATTTTAAATCCACTGGAGTTTGCAGGGCTTCTTTCCTCTAATGATCTGTTTGCTAGACCTCAGTGGGTCTTGAGGAGAACCTGTCATAAGTTCATAAAGAACTTTCTTCTTGCCCAGGGGAAATGCAGCTCTCTGGTGCAGGGGCCTGGTGGTGCTCTCTCTGTGCCTTTCTGTCAAACCTATACTTCTCTTCCTGCTCTGTTCCTGCCACTCTTCTCTTACCCACACTCAGTTAAGTGCTTTCATTAGAAAATGCAGCCTGTGTACAGCTTCCTGTTTGAGGCTGCAAGAGTGAGATGTGAGGTGGGTGTTAAACACTAGGACACAAAACACAGTGAGTGGCAGCAATTAATCCTGTTCTGGCTGCCTGCGTCTAGGCGTGGAGCTCTCCTCAGGTTTTCCCCTCTTCCCAATTGCCTGATAGACTGTGAACCTCCCAGCTCCCTGCTGCTGCATTGAGATGGGGTGAAGGATGCACTGCAGTCCCTGTCCCTTCATCTTTGCAGCATGACTACATAGTGTGTGAGCATTTATATGCACCCACCCTACCTGCTGCCTTCTGCTACAGAAGGAATGTAGGTGGTGTTCCTTAGGATGCAGGAGAACACTTGTCCTCCAGTGTAGGGCTGCCCTGCAGGGGAATTAAGACTGAGCAGGAGCTGATGTTTTGTCTGTATAGCTACATTTTGCAGAAGTATAGTTACTTACTGAGTTTTGTCCTGGTGTGGTGTCCCTTTCAGCTCAGCTGTTAGTCTCTTGCTTCATTTTAAAGACAAGGCCTATTGTAAGCCTTCCTTGAAACAGTTTCTTGTTTTACAGGTAATGTGAACCAAAATCCTAGCTGTCAGGCAGTTTCCCAAACAGGTAAGGCCGAAGTGAACACCTGGAGTATGCAGCCATCATCAGGGACACTGCTCTGACATGAGTCAGGGCAGTGAGAGGCTGCAGACCCAGCAGCTAATAATTCTGTTCTCCTTTTTCTTCCCTTTTCTTTCAGGGACAGTGCTAAAATCCATCAATGACTTTCTATTTCAGAGCCAGATTGACAATATCAACCTCTTCAAGGTAATGCAAATGCTGTTGTCTGCTAGGGCACAGGTGGTGGTGACTTTGTTCAAGGTCATCAGGAAGGATGTGTGAGAGCTGGAAGTAGAGGCAGGGCTCACATGGCAGAACCTGCTTTCTGACTCTCCCTGCCTCCCCAGCGTATAGACCTTTGCTGCTGCTATCCGGATAATTGCATTGGAGCCAGGCAGGTGGTCTTGGGGTGGGGAGAAGGAAGGAATTAAACATGTACGAGTGCAGAGGCTGTCTGTAGAAAAAGCTAAACTGTAAGGTTTGAGGATGCAGAAACTGTATTACTCCAATAACCTACCCCATCCCTCAAACAAGCCTCCAAGCACAGCACCTTAAGCCCATGTGTTTCTATTCTGGAAGCAATGCCTTTGTGCTAAACTGTTTTCTGGGGGTCAGTGCTCACAACAAACTGTGCACCCCCGCCCAAGACCACAGCAAGAACAGCAGGTGATACCCCTGATGTTCAGGGACCACGGGCAGCAGGATGGGAGAAGGGATGCTGAATGCCAGTTCATTTTTTTTGTCTTCCTCCAACAGGTTCAGCGTTACTGTGAGAAGAGCCTCATCAGTAGGAAGGTACTGCCCCTGAGGATTTATGGTCAGCTGTGTTCAAATACCGTTTCACACGCTGAGTTTGCAGTGGAGCTTGCAGCAACTGGGGTCTTCTTCACCCTGCTCTGCAAACAAAATGGTTCCTGCAGAAAGTGCTATATGGGCAGGTTACCTTTTGCTTACACAGCAAAGAAACAGACAATATGGTGTGTTCCAGCCAGTGCTAATGCTGTGCTGCTTGGCCTCAAACCTGCCAGCCTGGTCAGCTGCACTGCACTGGAGGAACAAACATCAGAGTCTTGCTTTGGTTTTGATTCAGTGCGTGGAGGAAAGTAATGGGAGCTCTGTGCTGTGCTGGTAGATTCTGATTGGGTTGGTATGCAACCCCTACCAAGGAACTTTATCTGTGGCAAGCAAGCAAACCTGGTTTTATCTAGTCTGGTTCCTGCTGTTGGTAGACTTAGTCTTTCTGGCTTTTGCTTGGCAGCTTTTCGGGTTTGTGGAGCGATATGGAAGCTCAGCCTCAGCTGTGAAGTCCAACAAGGAGAACCAGAAGTTGAGTGGTTTGCAGAACTTTCTTCTGACCCTCCAGCAGGGAGCTGATAAAGAGGGTGAGTTCAGGCTTCCTGCACTTGTGCTTCCGCAGACAGTGAGGGTGTGGAACTTCAATCTACCTGTGTGTGGAAAGGGGAGAGACAGATTTGAAGAACGAGAGACTGCAGAAGCTGCTGTGCACACGTGTTTTTGACATACCTGGCTAGGTGACCTAGGCAACTAGACGTATGATGGGAAGATCTCTTGAGGTCCATGCAAAGCTGAATGATGATGTAGTTCCATGTTTACACTGCAAGCACTCAAGCTTAGCACTGCTGTGATGTGCTTGCTCTGGGACCTGAGCTGCTGTGGGTAGCTCTGTTTAGTGGTGCCAGCTACAAAGAAACAGATTTATTTATTTATTTATTCCCTCCCCTACCAGTGGGATGGAATTTGGGTTCTCTCCTTTAGTGGGTCTTTGTTCTCTGCCTGCAAACGTAGACCAGGTACTGTGATCCTGTAGCAGGGACCCATCTACGTTTCGTGCTTTGTCCCTGTCTTCAGAAGTGTGGTCTAAGTTGCCTGCCTCTCCTTTTCTCTTTGGGCCAGCAGGTACTCCCCAGAGCCCTGTGGTGGAGGCTGACAATGACCAGGTCCGAACTGCCTCTCCGCTGATGCAGATCGAAGGATTTCTGTCAGCCCTCACCAATGCAAACCAAGATGGCAGAGTCATTCTCAACAGGCAAGGTACTGCAGAGGGCAAGCTGGGGAGAGGAGCATGAGTTGCAAGCAGGGTGCTTCACTGGCAGTGATACAGGCTTGGTCTGTCTGAGGATGTTCATGAACCCAAAGGGATTCTTAACCAAGGGCATGGAGGCCAGGGTTTGCAGAGCTCTGCTCCCATTCTTGTTGTGATTTGCTTTTCCTTGCCATTTACTGTGCCTCTTCTGCAGCTCCAGGAACATTAGGGAACAGAAGGTAACTTCCAGGCTGGCGTTACCTGCTGCTGCCTCGGGCAGTGCTGAATAGCAAGTCCTTGCTTTGGGAGGTGGGGACCTGCCAGGGTGCCCAGGGCAGGAGGGAATCTCTGAGTGCGTGTGCGTCACAGCTGGCTCCTGATGCTGTCTCTCTCCTTTTCCCAGGAACAGTTGGTCAGAGTAGCCTCAAATTCCTGTTGCTGAATCCAGCTGTCCACTTTGCCAAGGTGGTGGAAGAATGCCGTGCTGTCATTATTGCTGGGGGCACCATGCAGCCGGTGAGGGAATGAGGGTGCTATGCTGAGGTCTCAGGAGGTGCCTAGCGCGCTCTGCAAGCAGGCATGGAAAGATAACTGCTTGGCCCCACTGGGATGTGCTCTTCTTGCTTCCAGTGGAGCGTTTGGGCTCCTTTTATCTCCCTGGTACTGTTTCCCTGCCTGTTTATGCAGAAAGCTGTAGGTGCAAGGGCAGGATTGCCCTTGTCATCCTTGTCCCTGGGAACAGCCTTCAGCGCAGGCTGAAGCTGGGCTCATGGTAGGCTGGAACTAGCATAGGTAGCAGTTGGGACCTATCAGAACTATCTGACCTTCTGAAGAGACAGAGATCCCACAGGGACCATCCCGTTGGGCACCTTTCAGAAAAATGAGGAGTTCAGCATTGGTCTGGTGGCAGGCAGCTTGCCGTGCTGCTCGCGTTGCTTCAGTGCCTAAGAGGCAGTGTGTTTGTGTTGTGTGGACACAGCGGGGTGCGCCAGATACCGCGGTTAGTTAGGTTTGTCCTCTTCCTGGACATGAAT